CGTTGCGATTTTGGACTATCGTAACGAATTTGGAATAAATCGCAACGAACTTGGAATAAATCGCAACGCGAACTTGGACTATCGCAACGAATTTGGAATAAATCGCAACGAATTTGGAATAAATCGCAACGAACTTGGAATAAATCGCAATGCGAACTTGGAACGAATTTGGAATAAATCGCAACGCGAACTTTGGAATAAATATCGCAATAATATCGTAATGCGATAGTCGAAGTTCGCGTTGCGAATCTGGAAACTGATTTGCGATACCGGAGATCGCGTTGCGAATTATAGATCGCATTACGATTTAGTTGGTCATTTTGGCAAATCCAAAAAAAGTTGGTTAAAATCGTATATTATAAGGCATTTTTGGTCACTGAGGTTATTTTCTCATAATAATAATAATAAAAATAATTTGGTTTTTTAAATTAGGGTAAATTACAAATTTCACCACTGAACTTTAAACGTTTTCAATTTTCTCACTGAACTTAATACATTGAATTTTTTTGGTCACTAAACAATACTTTTTCTCCTATTTTGGTCACTCTGTCGTTAAATAGTTAACGGTATTGAAAACGATGCCATTTTAAAAAAAATAAAAATTTTCACCAAAACGATGTCGTTTTTCCATATATATAACAGTTCATTTTAATGCCATAACTATTTAACGGCCGAGTGATAAAAAAATCTAATGTATAAAGTTCAGTAAGAAAATTAAAAATATTTAAAGTACAGTGAGTGAAATAGAGGATAAAGTAAAGTTTAGTTACCAAATTTGTAATTTACCCTTTAAATAATTGGTACAAAAAGGATAGTAATTATTATTTTTGACAAGACGGTAGCAAAATGAAATTTGTGCACTATAACCTATTGAATGAAGTAAGAGATCTTCATGTTCAAGCATGTCTCCATCTTCACCTACCAATTATGGAGTAATGGTAGGAATCAAGCATTTACTTAACCTATTCTCTTCTGTGTTTAATAATTCTACATTTTATAAATGTTGTCTACAAATGGTTTTAGTGATAAAAAAAGTATTATTTTTTATCAATTCGAACAATTACGTCTATTGAATGTATATTATCAATATGCTAAGAAAAATTATGAACATATATTACCATATTACCCCAGACTTGTTAAAGTAATATTAACCATTTCGTTAAAGCAATTATATATATATGTTAGAATCATATATATATAACACACGACATCGTCAAAAGGATTAAAAGTAATTAAATTTAAATTTTTAAATCTATGTGAATTAAAAAAATCAGGAATTGAATTAAAAATATTAATTTTAGGGTTTTGTGTTTATGGTTGTGAATATATTTGTTTATGTCCATGGATATTCACTCAACAATAAAAAAAAAATCAACTAAGTAAAACTTACATTTTAAAACAAGAGTTGTTGAGTTCTAATGTTGGAGGCATTTGTAATATCATAAAACAAAAGTCTAATGGTTACTAGACTTTTGCCCCATAGTAGATTTGATTTATCATTTCCGCTCCTATAAGTTTTGCGTATCAAATAAACCTTTAAAGTTGTTTAGGGGCATCATTTTGGCTAACAGAAACGTGAGTTTATGCGTTTGTAAATTAAGGGATTATGTTAAAATATATATACTATACACGACGGTTAGAAAAAACATTTAAAATTTTATTATTTATTTCAGTGAGATTAAGAGATTAGGTAAAAAATTTAAGGATTTTTTACCATTGTATTTAGTAAATATTTTTACAACATAAAATATCACATTCCTTGCGGTGAATCTGATGATACCACACCCTAAAAACACCAAACCAAAAAATTCATGAGTTTCACCCATCAAATTCAATAACACAACAACAACAACAACAACAAAACTTTTGTTTGATCCATCTTTATTATTACTATTATTAGAGTTGATTGTATCATACGTCTCTAATGTAACCTACATTTTAAATTAATACATAAACTTTTAAATATTCTAATTTCATACCAAAACTATGACCCTCGTTCTAAATTAATCCTTAAACATTTGAATATTTCAATTTCATCCCTAAACTATGATCTTCAATCTGAATTGGTCCCAAAACTTTTGAATATTTCAATTTCATCCCCAAATTCATCCAAACATGTAATTAATTTCAACCATAGTTTAACCTAAATTTTGTTTTTCCAAACATGAAGTAATATAACATGACATAACAATTTCATTAATAAGGGATGCGATTAGTATATATGTATAATTTTGGATGAAATTGGAATGTTCAAAAAGTTTAGGGATCAATTTAGAATGAAGGTTATAGTTTGGGGATGAATTGAAATATTCAAAATTTTAAGGACTGATTGAAAATGAGAGTCATAGTTTAAGAATGAAATTGAAACATTTAAAAGTGTAGGATTATTTTTAACTAAGCGTCCTACTTTAACGACATATGTGCAATTAACTCTTATTAGTATTATTATTATTATTATTTATAATAAAAATATTTATTAGAAAATACGTTACAAAAAATACAACTAATTAAAATGTAAAATTACCTCACAAAAGATAATCCGATTAGGAAAATTAAAAACAGATTTAAAGCTATATGATAAACACTAACCAAGTTAAAATGCTCACTGACTTCTTATAAACATACACACACTCAAAAATAGAGTAAATTATGTGTTTAATACTTAATCTATTAATTTTGGCTCGTTTTAAAATCTCAACTTTTAATTTTTTAAAAATCATACCTAATATTTATTTTTTGTTTCCTTTAGTACTTATGGGAAAATTACATCATTCACCACTCAACTATCTTCTCACTCCTATTTTGGTACTAAAGTTTTAAAATTTTCGATTTAATTACTTGACTTTCAAATTGCACCTATTTTACTCACTGTACTTTTAATTTTTCTCACTGAACTTTCGAATTGCTCCTGTTTTGATCACTCTGAATTATTTTATTATTATTATTTTTGTATGACATGGCATTTATTATTATTATTTAATATAAAATAAAAATAGAAGTGGTCGGATGCCACCGTCGACTGCCGTAGGTAGTGGTCGTTTAGTCCCAAATTTTATGGGTCGGTTCATCTCGACCTCTAAATCCGAATCTGGTGGTTTTTTCACCGGAAAATGTCCCAAAATAGTGAATCTCAACTAAAACGTTTCAACTTCCTCACTTTTAATCTTCAATTTGTGGCCTTCGGAACAAGTTTCGACAAAATGGAGGTCAGATTCAGACTTAACGTGTCGAGGCGAAGCGACTCATGAAATTTGAGACTGAACGATCACCATCTACAGTGTCCAGCGGTGACATCCGACCACCTTATATTTTTATTTTATATTAAATAATAAAATGTCATGTCATACAAAAATAATAATAAAATAATTCAAAATCATCAAAACATGAGCAATTTAAAATAGTAAATTAGAAAAAACTGAAAGTACGATGAGTAAAATAAGAGAGAATATAGTTCAAGAAGGAATAATGCAATTTACCCAATAAAAAAAGCCTCAAAAGGCAATTAAGAAATCGTTAGTTCGTACAAATCAATGTGATTACAAATTAGTATATGTTTTAAATAATACACCAATTAATCACTCTACTGTAGTGGTTGGTTCTCGAACTCGTGATCTCTAAGAACAACAACGATTCCTTTAACCATTGAAGTAAGTTAGTTCGTGCAAATCAATTCATTTTAACCAACTATAATTTACATAACTTGTTTATCATTCTCAAGGTGATACCTAAATTATCCCCATCTTATTATATTAGCCATACATTTCACTTTGAGAATAATTTGTCAAGTACCCGTTAAAAACATATAAATATGAAGTTAAGAAACGTTATCAAATTCTTAGGTAAATTTGAAAAACCACTTGTAAAATACACACTCAACACCTTCATTTAATTTCCTCTCCAGTGCCATTTCGAATTTTGATTTGTTTTTATGCATTTGAATGAAAATCATCTTATATTTTTCTTTCTTACCAAACAAATTTTCAATTCAAGAAAGAATAGTCAGTCATGGGAGGTTTAATTCAGCTTGACTCGTAATTTTATAAAATCAACTTTTAAAAAAATCAAATAAACTTGGGAGGAGGATGAAGGATTCAAAGATAAAGGTTTCAGATTATATTCAATGGCTTCTCTACAAGGGGAGATATCCTTATCTCAAAACCGTCTACCATTGTTTCGGTTTTCATCTCGAAAACTGATGCAGAATCCTTAAGGATGCAGAGTAGGATAGCATGAATGAGAAAAGAGAGATGCAATGAAACTTTTGGGTCAATTGAAACAAAAAGAGGGTGGCAACCAAATTTATGGATCAACAATTCTGTGATGGAAATGCATGGGAGAGTGAAGGACCTTGAGGTGAGAAGATTTGAAAGAAGTGAACAGCAGAAAAAGGAAGTTTTACCAGATAATACACATCCCATCAGATATGTGTTTTGAGTAATGCACATCCTATCAGACTTATCTTTTGAGAAAAAGATGACCCTATGACAAGTGGTATCAAAATGACCTTATGACTTCCCGGTTTCAAGTTGAACACCCCAATGGATGGGATAGACATGGTGGACAACTGTAATGATGACCGAAGGCAAGATTAAGTCAGCATGTCACGCACCGGAGAGGTGAGTGACATTAATCCAATATCGAAAAAGTAAAAAAAGAGATCCTATAGTTTATAAACGGTGGCACTGCACATCCTATCAGACATGTCTTTTGAGAAGAAAATAATGATCCGTAACAGTGGGTTACAACAATTTAAATGGCAAAAGCAATTTGATTTTTCTTTCTTTCTTAAACTGGAATTCATAAATTTACATGTCTCATTTCAACACAAAAATAAAGCCACTTAATCTCAGTTATTGCAATCTAGCTATGTGCTGAAGACATATCACTTTGAAAACTTAGTATTGAATCCAAAGCTTGAAGATTATAATTTAAGCAAAAAGATACAAGCTTTACTTCGTAATTTATAAGCCTAAAATGAACTATAAATAAGAAAAACCCAAGTACACTTCATATAAATAAGAAAAACAACTTCCCTCACCGTATGTAGAAACGATAATACAATCAAGCATAGGATGGAGCCAGACATTCATCAACCATATCCAAAAGGTTTGGGTTTTCCAGTGCTGCTGCAACTCGTTCTTTATCATTCAGTTGTTTATTAACTGCATGGAAGAAGAGTAGAGAAATGAGCTTAACGGCTGCTGCAACACCCTGTCATACTAAATATTCCCTCAGGTTGTAACCAGTTTGACCACAAAGTGAATCTTGCATTGTAGGTGTAATCTAGTTGGTCAATTTGAACTTAAGTAATAAGAAGCTCCAGTTCTACTCAAAATTCAAGGCTAAAAGCTTAATCAAGCACTCAAGCTTGGCTAAGCTCTACTTTTAAAGCTTGAGATTCATTCAATATAAAAATCAAGCTACTGGAACTCAATTAAGCTCGTTTACTTGATAAAAACATGCTCAACTTCAAAATCCAGTTGTTTGCTCTAGTTCTAAATTAGGATTTTTTATTATCAATTACTAAATATATAAAAAAAATCGATTAAGCCCGTGGGCTACTCAAGTCAATCATGGGTATACTCAAATCCAAGCTCCCTAGATAGCTCGAACAGCTCAAGCTTAACTCAACAATGACCAAGTCAAGTTCATAGAGTAGCTTTGAGCACGTCTCTGGTATACACCACCGTACCACACCTACAAATCTCTAATTCCACAACTGGAATTGAACACCAGAGAAAAAATGACACGTACCTGCAGCTTCAGTTGCATGAGTTCCAGGTGCAACCCTTATATCCATCTAAACACCACAAAGAACAGTTATTGACACAGAAAAAGTGGCAAGAATTTGCAAAGAGAATACAGAACAAAAACGTTGTGTAATTTATTTGATCAAAAGAATACCTAATATAATTTATATGAACTAATAACTCCAATTAATTTGATAGAATTGTTAGTGAACAATACATCCAGTGGACAAGTTTATCAAACAGGTTTCTCGTATAGGAACCGATAAAGACCTTGTCATTAATTAATTAATTGACTTGACCACTCATCTTATTTGAACTGTTAACTATCAGTTGAGTTGATATAGCCCTGCATACAGGTTTGAAAGCCTTATATATATCATGTGGGCAGCATAAATTCAACATAGTTATGCATGAGCCATACATGATGTTAAGAGTTTCCTGCTCCATTTAAACAAACTTCAGTAGCAAACTAGTCCATCACCAAAGCTCAAGCAGCAAATTTAAAAGTCAATAAGCCAATAAAAAACCGTGGAAATTTAGTTGTTAGTGAAATTTCTGAAGCAACAACAAGAAGCTCAGATCAATGTATCATCTCTAGTAAGATAAATTTCATATTTTACACCTCAGACTTCAGCTTCAATGACGAATGAAACAAGAAACGAATTTGCGGGTATTCAACAAGAAAAGTAATCATTTCCTTTCCATTTCAGGGAGAAAATCCAACAAATTATGGATATTCCCCTTTCTTGTTCCCAAATTTCTATCATCCAATTTCTAAACTTTATATCAGGGATTCCAAACATTGTTTGAACTAAGCTCTTACCAATCCATTCCATAACCACTGAAAACGACAGAGAATGACTTTACATGATTCATACAGCAATAGAAGTGACATGTTAAGACCAGAACTCAAAAAAGGAAAAGAAAAAAGCCAGAAAAGCAAATACCTTGTAGCGAGAAGGAAGACTCCTCATAAGTTTAACTCTCAAACAAAGACCAATAACCGTAGCCATACTACAATGTTCAACGGTGGGAGTGAATGTCACTCTGAACAAGAAACAAAACAATAAGAAAACAAATTTCTCAACAAAAAATGAGTGAGAAGCATATGAATATGAGATAATTTGACCATAATACCTAACGTAACTTCGCTCGTCGTCTACTTCGATAGCATCTTCAGTTATTACTTTAAGCTCCTCTAGAGAGTATGGATGTTCAGGATCCTTTATATCTCTAATATGATTTAAGAATGTTAAGAAAATCAAAATAACATGCTCCACATAATACAAAATAAGATATGGAAAATACTACCCAATAGAAGCAGATACTTTATACAGCACGATAACAATCACTTGCATAAAGAGAAAAGAAGTAATAAATAACAAACGGGATCGAAAAAAGGATATCAAAAATTTCTTCTTGGTCAATAGGCTCAACAGCATATTCATCAGGCACAGATGTTACTTTACGAACCTGCCGCTCTTTCTTCTCGTACACAATAGGGTTTGCATTTATTAAACCGGACACCATAGTTTCTGAATCAATCAACGAGATAAAATCATAAAAAAATCAATCATATCATCACTCTTCTTCTTTTTTCCATGCACAGCTATAAATAATTGTTCTCGGTTAATCAAATTTGCAGCCCTTTGATTTCTACCACAAATCAAGAACAATTGGGGTTAAACATATATATGATTTTATAATAATCAAGTATAATTCTCCCAAATATTGAAACAACCCATAAGGAAGCATAAACAAACCCTAAAAACAATTTTAGAGAGAAAAAGGAATATTAAAAGAAAAAATAAACCAAACCTGAGCAAAAGACAATATATTTGGGGGTGGGGGAATATAAAGAATTACAAGAAATCAAGTTGAGTATTTAGATTAAATCATACATAAACAACAACAAAAATCGAAATTTCAAACAGAATGGAAGAAAAATTAGTGGGTACGAGTTACCAATTTGAAGTCGCTGCGAAAAGGGCAAAGTAATTGCGAGAAAGCGAAACCTGGTTTAATTCTAAAGACCAATTGAGAAGATTGAAGTAGAAATTGGAGAAGACGAAAGCCCAGCAATGCTATTTTTTAATGGCTCAATCGAGTTTTTGGGTAAAGTAGCTAACTATTACTTGTGTTACGTTTTGGTATACAAACTTTGTTTATTTTCAAAATCATGACTAATGTTCAGTTTATGTTTCAATTTATGATTCACTATTAAAAAATTAATATAATTATTGACATAATTTTTTTTATTTTTTACAAAGATGACGTGGTATTATCTTATGGTGATACATCAACATTAATTTTTTAACAATGAGAAACTAAAATGAAACCTAGACTAAACTTTAGGTATGGTTTTGAAAAAAATAAAATTTATGCACCAAAATAGAATAAAGATAGTAGTTTAGATACTAAACATGTAATTTACCTTTTTAGTCGTCGCTGTTTGGATCAACTGCTGAAAATCCAAATTGTTTTCGATATCTACTAGCTCAAAAAAGTTTGCATTAGGTTAGGTTGCATTATAATTAACATTTATTTTTAGGATAAACTACAAAAACAGTCCTAAACTTTTAGGACAATTGCATTTCAGTCATCCAACTTTTGAAACATACAATACAATCATTGAACTTTTAGTTCATTTTCATTTTGGTCTCTATCATTACCTTCCATTAGTTTTTGCTGACACTTAACCCCTCAACTTTTGTGGTGTGGCAGCTTCTTCTTCTTCATCCTTTTCTTCTTCTTCTTCTTCTTCCTTCTTCATTCTTCTTCCTTCTTCCTTCTTCCTTCTTCATTCTTCCTCTTCTTCTTCTTCTTCTTCTTCTTCTTCTTCTTCTTCTTCTTCTTCTTCTTCTTCTTCTTCTCACACACTTTCTTGGTGAAATCTCAAATCTAAAACCTTGCCATTTCTTGAATTCTTTTTCTATCTCTATTTTCCCAATAAAATTCAGCTTCTCTCTACTTTCTCTGGAAAATCCACTTCAAGTAGTTTGATTTGTTGCTATTAATTGTTATCTTTTTCCTCATATGGGTGTAGGGAGAAACTGAGAAAAAGCTTCTTCTCACACATTTTCTTTTCATTCTCTCTATACGTATCGATATGCATTCGGATGCTGAATTATTACCAAAACCGAATCTCTTGAGCTTTTGTCTCATACAGAAGTTGGCTACAACAATAAAAAGGAATTACGGTAAACACAAAGTGCTAGATATAGAATATCACAGTAGAGAATTTAGTGAGCTTCAAAGACGATTGATGGAGATGCAATAAGTTATCATGTTCCTCATTAATTTGCATTTCGTTAATGATTGAATTGGCTTTTACATCACTTCATGCAACTTATCATGTTCCTCATTAACTATGCTTAAAAGACCAAGAAATAACATGTTTTTTTATCGGAGAGTTTCCATTAAAAAAGTTGATTTGTGCTTTGTGCTCGGAGGATCATCCATCTTGCAGTTGATATGTCTGCTCCTTACACCAATGCTTTAGTAGCCGACTTAAGTTCATCAAAGTCATATAAAGTTTCAGCTACTGCTTTGCTTTTTTCTTTCAGTTTCATTTGATGCTTTTACATCATATAAATGAGGATTTACATTGAAATGCCTCGTACTCGGCATCGAAAATGGACATTCACATTAGCCGTGTTTTACCCCGATCGTCATTTTGTTGTTTAACACTGTATAAATGGGTAGTAATCCTAAGAACATCGAGTAGCATCCGAATGCATTCTATTAGCATTTATATTCTATTTTCTGAAGATATTAATTCATGCAACTGCAGGAAATGGATGTAACGAGTTTTCAAGAGTTTCAAAGACATGAATGGCACATTGGTGTGGTAAGCTAATTGTATTCAACACACATTTCATTGATGGTTGTAACTTCATGCATCAGTCGTGTTTACCAGAATTCCTTTTTACTGATGTAGTCAACTTCTGTACGAGACAAAAGCTCAAGAGATTCAGTTTTGGTAATAGTTCAGCATCCGAATGCATATCAGTATGTAGAGAGAGAATGAAAAGAGAGTGTGTGAGAAGAAGGTTTTTCCCAGTTTCCCTACCCATCTGGGGGAAAAGCTAAAGTTAATAGCAACAAATCAAACTACTTGGAGTGGATTTTCCTGAAAAAGTAGAGAGAGAAGATGAATTTTCTTGGGAAAATAGATATTGAAAAAGAATTCAAGAAACGGTAAGGTTTTATATTGAGATTTCATTGAGAGAGTGTGAGAGAAGAAGAGAAGAAAGAAAGAAAGAAGAAGAGAAGAAGAAGAGAAGGAAGAAGAAGAAGAAGAAGAAGAAGAAGAAGAAGAAGAAGAAGAAGAAGAAGAAGAAGAAGAAGAAGAAGAAGAAGTTGTCAAATCACAAAAGTTGACGGGGTTAAGTGTCACGTCAGGAAAAACTAATGAGAGATAACGACAGAGATCAAAATGAAAACGAACTAAAAGTTTGATGACTGTATTGCAAGTTTCAAAAGTTTGGCGACCAAAATGCAAGCATCCTAAAAGTTAAGGGACTATTTTTATAGTTTACCCTTATTTTTATTCTATTATTTAAAGTTTTGATTAAATTGGCATTATTGTGTAAACACTCATTTTTGTCTGAGTTATTATTATTATTATTATTATTATTTATTTGCTCGTCCAAATTACAAACCGGCCCAAACAGATTACAAACCAAACATAGGGTCGAATTACATCAAGCCCAAACAACAAGCCCACATGCCAACCCAAGGAAATTAGGGCTTCCAAACCCTAGATCCTAGATCTAACCACCGGCTACTGCTGTTGTCATAATCGCCTAGGCCGTCAAGTCCAACCGCTATTATTAGAGCCCACCCTCGATTCGAACAAAAATCATAAAAAAGAAAAAAATGATGGCATCCATTTAAAGAATTGTGGTCGGTCAAGCAAGTAGCCGGTGGATGTGACTGGTATCATCTCCAACAAAACTTCACATGCTATAAAACTTGAAAAAAAAAGATGAGACACAGAGAGAAAAAGAGGAGAAAGATTCTAACAAAAGAGAACCTGATTTGAAAAAGAAAGAAAGAAAGAAGAAGAACCGAAACAAAAAAGAGAAAGAAAAACCCTCACCTTGATTCGAAGCTCACCGAAAAATTGAAGGGACGCCGACTTTTCAAAAATTTCACAAGGTATTATTGTAGATCTAGGTTTTTAGGGCGGGTCTTAGGATAAAGGGAGATAGGATTTGAGTTAAGGAAGAAGAGGAGAACATTTTGGGGTCTTTTGGGATTTTTAGACCATCGACGAAGGAACGTTGTCGGCTGATGGTGGTCATCTCCACCTACAAGAGGAGCTTGAGAGAATCCAAGAACTCTCTCCCTCCTCTTTAAAAATAAAAAGGAAAAATGAAAATGTTTTAGATTTTTAGCCTTAACCTTAAGGTTTCATATCATCTTTAAAACTATGTCATTTTGGAGTTAGGGTTTATGAACCCTTGCGCATGGGATAACCTCTTTTTCGACCATCTACATTTTGTAAAGCTTTAATTTAGTAACTAAATAAGTTTATGTTGTTTCTATTAAGAGCTTTAAATTTAGCTACCTTTATATTTTAGTCATCGCCTATTTAGCTAACATCATTTGGATAAATTACTGATTGTGAATGTTAATTTATAACTTATTATATGTTAGTCCCTGTGATTATCGCTCGTTTTGGTTTATGTGGTTTTGCATTTTACCATGTGCATTTATTTTATGTGCATGCATACTTGTATTATTATTATTATCCATTTTCACCCATGTATATTTTATAATATGTACATATTAGTTTTTTTTATGTTCTACGCATATTATATATATATATATATATTAAAACGTTGATTTTTTTATTATGTTATAATATACATACATACATACATTATCACTTCTTCACGCCCACCTTCTTCTTCTTCTTCTATATAAATACCAAGTTCTTATGAGCTGGGACACCCAACTTCACCCGAACAGGCACAAACTGAGTCAACAGTGGAGAGAGGCGAGACAAGGGAGAGCAACTCTCACTACTTTATATACTAAATATACTAAAAGTAAGTCACTGCCCAAGGTCTGAAACAAGCTTTGTACTCAATCCGATGATCCACAGTTTAGGGTCGAACCCACAAAGATGTCACTTTCAACTTGCGACAGTTCTTCCAGGTCAAAGCTTTCTTTCTTCCTTGGCATGCTTCACATGCCCTTTCGAGGGCCCTCCCTGGAGTCTCCATCTCGGACCATTCCATTAACCTAGTCTCATTCTTCATCTATGACGGCTAGTTACTGTTTAGTAGCTTCACCCTGCTTCCTCAACTGCCTTTTCTTTTGCTTTGGAGAAAATCAAAATTAGTCACCTTCATCAGAAGGATGCTAGTATTGCTATGAAGGTCAAAAAAGTGATTCACAAAATGAATGCACCAATATATACTGTGCATGCGAGCTCTTCACCTTGCCTTTGTCGGATGGGGATTGGTTACATGTCCTGTTCATTCTGCTTTAGCGCACTATGGTGAGTCCACTACTGAGTGAGCAGCCAATTTGTGATACTCCGAGAAGTGAAAGAGGGTTTTTGCATCCCTATATAAGATAAGAGATTTCTTCTTTGCATAGGAAGATAAAGAAAGCGTAAACTCTGGAGGCGTAACCACCGAGGGTTAGGTACGTAGCAACTAAATAAGTTTGCAAGGTACAAACTTCAACTCTTCTTCCGTTAACTTTTATTGTAACACATTAATCTAGTTTGACCCGAAGATTAATGGATTACAATGTTACACGAGATTACCGAAATAGTGACCCGAAAATTTCTTTTAAAATTGCTTAATAAATCACTGAAACAAATCATCCATAATAGTAAAAGAAAAACAACAATATGAGTTTACAAAACAACGGGGAGCTTCCAAAATAAATCCAAAATAATACAGTATCGTACAATCAAAGTTACGTCTAAATAGTACACAAGTCTATAAATAGTATATGCCCTCTAAAGATGACACAAGACGTATTCTGATGGTCTGGTCTGTTGCACTGGAATGTCTAGTGACGATAACTCTCCCCGAGTTGCCCCTAAG